GGCACGCACGACCGTGCCAAGCGCGAGCGCCATGGAGGCTAGCAAGCCAGTGATGCGAGCGGCCCGACGGATTGGATAGGCCGCCCTTGCGTGTTAAGTGCGCATGTCTGCTCAAGTTCGGCGAAGAGTTGCTCGCGTCTGCCGTCATCGACGGAGAAAGACGTGGTGTGAGTGTCCAGCAGGAGGCCCAAAGACTTAAGCACTGGGTTGGTTCGAGCTGCGACTTCCTGAAGTTGACACCGAAGCCAGCTGACTGAAGATCCGCTAAAATGACGGCACGTTGGCAAAGGGCCTCGGCTCGAGTAGCGTTGATGAACAAAATGTCATCGACGTATGGGATAAGCCGGATGCTGCGTCCGCGCTTTGTGAGCTGCTTGATCAGCTGAGTAAAAACGAACGGCGCAGTAGCTAGACCAAAAGGCAATGATAGAAACTGGTAGCGCTGCCCTTGGAGTGTAAAACCAAGGAAACGTCAATACGAGGGATGGATATCCACATGGTGGTAGCCTGATTTGAGATCGATGGTGATTAGCCAATTGTCTTGCTGCACCAAGTCGGGCACCCGTAGTGAAAACGGGGGACAGAAAGAAATGAATTCACATGGCGGAGGTCCAATATGAGCCTCTTTTTGGAAGGTTGGACAACTACGTTAAGCGAGCTTATGTATGTGAGTGGCTCCGATGGATGAACGAGCCGGGCCGCTCCCGTAGCGAGAAGCTCGTCCACCGCCTCCACAGCGAATGTGTGGAATTGGAGTGCCCCGGCATGGTTTGAGGCATGCCGCACTATAGGCTCTGAAGAAGCCCAGGGGAGGCGATAGCCTGACGTGTGGACCGATAGCATGAAGCGGCTATCGCACCAACCGGACCACCATGCAAAGCAGGCACGCAGGCATCCTCGCATACGGATTGTATCACCCGATGTGGCAACATGTATGGCGAATGAGCCAAGCTCTTCGTCGAGGGTTTCCATGGGCGCGTCGTCGTCCACGCCATCGCCCTCGGGTTCGGTCGCGACGGGAGGAGGGCGGGAGCGTGGCACTGCTGCTGCCGCAGGTCGAGCAGGTGCAGGGGGTGGTGCTGGATCACCGGTTTGTCCGCGCTGAAGGGCCGCGAGAAGACCGATGACGTGACGAATCGCGTCATTATTAGCGTTGTCGTTGTTGTTGTAACGAGAAGGAATTTGTTCTGCAAATCGGGGCGCTATAGAAGCAGAGGAGCGCGCTGTAACGCGTTCACCAATTGCAGCACCCGTGAAGATTCGATGGAAATTTCGTTGGGTGGCGGGGTCCAGACGCGCCATCATTTCGTCAAAATTTTGCAACTCCATCGGCGATGATGACAGGATCCTGCTATGCGCGCTGATTCGTCGGGCGAGATTCCAAATTGCGTGGACGTCCAGATTCTGGCGATTGCCACGATCCTGGCGCTCCTGGCGATTTGCGCGCTGGTCAAGATTCTGACGACCCAGTGCCTGACGCGTCTGATCACGCTCAGGATTCTGCTCATCATTTCGACCTGCGCGCCAGGATCGCGATGATCATTGCGATCCTTGCGCGCAGGACCGTCATGATTGCGGCCGAGGGGTGCCGCGCGCAACTGTCCCATGGGTGGCGGGGGCGTTTTCTCCTGCCGGGTTCAAGTCGACACGTTCACGTTCTTCACGCCGCTCGCTGCGAAACCCGGGGGGAAAATCGCGACCATTAGAAGCGTTACAATCTCCGACGGGAGCCAATCCGAGTTGCTGAACAGGGTTTTGCCGAGCGCCATTCAGCAAATCCAATGCAGTAACAGATGCGTTTCTGTTGCGTGGAGAGCGGGAATGATCACGTTGAGTGGAAGAAGCTTGACTTCCCTTACGCACATGGGATCTACGTCGTCCATTGCTCCTGAGATTCATTCTTGAAACAGGAGGACGACCATTTGCAGCAGAAACAATTCCTCCAGTCATGGTAGAAAAACGTGCGGCAATCACGTCTGCAAGTAGCGTGCTCCTATGCCCAGGTCTGGGCATAGGAGGGGTTTAGAGGGTGCTGGTGGTAGTAAGCAATCAGAGGAGAGAAATGAGAATGAGACTAGGTGGCAGGTCCATCGGACCTGCGAGAATGTGAAGGAGCTTGTCTCCTTTATAGCAAAACTCCTCTTCAAATCGAATCACAATCTGTTAAAAAAAATCGTTAGAAAAATCATATTTCAATATTGATTTCTTGGAGTGGGAAGTTGAGAATGAGCTTCTCAGCTCAGACCCCTTTTAATGACTCCCAACAACTGCTGCATCTCTACTATGGCTCTAAGGAGGTGAGCTACTGTAGCTTATGTGGCGAAGAGTTGGATTTCCAACCAATGGGAAGTTTACAACAATGCATTCAGATTAGCATTTGGTATACCGCATAGGAATATTCGAGTTGAGCTGGCATTGCCAACCAACTCTCTAATTATAATTGGTTGCAATTACATTCATCGCGTGGGTTGGAAAATTTGCCAGGTCAACATGTACAGTGGCGGATTAAATTGCCCGGATGTTTAACACTTTGAAACGTATCGTTATGCAACACATGTTTCGAAAATAGTAACACCCGTTTTTTTCCATTCTGTTACTCGGTTTTTGAGTTCTGCTTCATCCGTTTCTTGCTTGGCGCGATTGTGACACTAACGGAAAGTGGGGTTGAAATTTACTACTCGACTGTCGATGTGGACATTTCCTACCGAGCGGAAGAGTAGATCTATTTTCCCCCGTCGCTCAGTGTGTACATCGTCACGCGCACCAGTTCCTAGCTTAGTTGTTAGTCCGGAAGCGAGCCTACGACCGCATCGCTATGAAGCCGTTAAATGAGAAGAAGCGCGCGAGGATCAGAAGCATGTTGCGTGCGGGGCATTCGACTAGGAAAATAGGGAAACTTCTTGGCATAGGCAAGAGCACCGTGCACGATTACGGTATGAAACTCGCTGAGGAGACTAGTCGCGAGGAGGTGCGACCTACGATGCCTTCGGCCGGCCGCCCCCGCTTAATCACAACCCGTCTCCAGCGCGGAGTTATACGTGCGATTACTAGCGGCGAGGCGAAAAGCTCTTCAGACGCGGCCAAGATGTTGTTGGAGAAGCACGATCTCGCCGTAGACTCGAAGACGGTCCGCAACTCTTTACGATCCGCGGGGCTGATCGCCGTGCATCAGCCCAAGAAACCCAGGCTCTCACCGAAAAACATCCGCGATCGTCTCGACTTCGCGCGGGCGCATGCCGACTGGACGCTGGAGGACTGGAAGCGGGTGATTTGGTCTGACGAGACGAAGATTAACCGCTACTGCTCCGACGGACGTGCGTACGCCTGGATTCGCGAGGGCACCAGCCTTCGGAGCCACCAAGTCCAACAGACAGTTAAGCATGGGGGCGGTTCTGTGATGGTGTGGGGTTGCATGACGTATGAGGGGGCGGGGTTCATGTGCAAGATAGATGGCAGGATGGATGGGCCGCTGTATCGCAGCATCTTGCAAGATGAGCTCAAACAGACCATCGATTTTTTCAAGCTTTCCCCCTCAGAGGTCATTTTCCAGCACGACAATGATCCCAAGCACAGGTGTCGTCTGGTCCAAGACTGGCTTGGGGAGCAGGAGTACGCGGTGCTGGAATGGCCGTCGTGCTCCCCGGACCTTAACCCAATTGAGCACCTGTGGGCATACTTGAAAAGGCAGCTGGGGAAGTACGAAAAGCCGCCAAGGGGAATGCTGGAGCTGTGGGAGAGGGTGCAGGAGGAATGGGACAAGATACCGCCGGAGGTGTGTGCAAACCTGATCGACAGCCTGCCGAGGAGGATCAAGGCAGTGATTCGGGCAAAGGGACGCTGGACTAGGTACTAGTTTTCCTAGAATCTAGTGTGATACCATTTTCCGGTACAAATTGTCCACATGTTCTCCCATGCTATGCTTAGGAGTTTAAGGACCATGTGTGGTACTACTTTGGTGTTTGAACACTGGAGTGACTGCTCTAACTGAACTTCTCAGCGTTAATGCACACCGTACATTAAGGCTTAATGTATACGCCTCTGCACTCATAAAAATGCAAAAAAAGGCAAAACATGTGGACAATTTAATCCGCCACTGTACAAGTACAATATGATTGGTTCAATCTCGACCAATCCCAAAACTCCCCTCCCAACCCCTTCTTCCCATTTTGCAATACCTAGAATAGGTAGCAAATTTGAGATAGGCCGTTGGGAAGGCAGTTTTGTAGGCCCGCGCACTGTTCATAGGCCAAGCGTTACACTCCTCCCCCTCCATGTGGCAACGTCCTCGTTGACGTAGAGTGCTTGTGGGGATGGGTGCTTCGAGCGCACCGAATCACATTATGACTAGGGTCAACACCATCCACTAGTTGCGAGGCTGCTCGTTGAGCCAGGTCTTCCAGATATCCGTGAACCATAGTTTCCGTCAAATGTTCCTCTGGCTCCCATGAGTTGTGTTCAGGCCCATAGCATTTCCACGTAATAAGGAACTCGCGTACTGTCTTGCGGCCACGCTGTCGATCACGGTGCATGAGCACACGCTCGACCTCATAAACGAGTTCCTCGCCGAGGACTATCGTTGGTGGAGGTAAGTACTTTCCTTCAGCAACGTACTTATTGAGCAGAGACACGTGGAAGACATCGTGAATCTACAATGTATCGGGTAACTTCAGCTTGTAAGCTACCACACCAACGCGCAGAATCACCTCGAATGGCCCAATCCATCGAGGGAATGGCTTTCGTGCCTCAGTGATTTTGAGACGAATGTTCTTCGTGCTCAATAATACATTGTCTCCAACCTCAAAAGAGACTTCCCGGCGTTTCATGTCGGCATAAGACTTTTGACGCTGCTGAGACAGTTGCAGTTAGCGGCGAGCAGGCTTGAACGCTTCTTGCTGCTTGCCCACAAAGTCTTTTGCGGCAGGGACTCGCAGTCCGCCGATCCGGTGCGCAGCAAGTGTTGTCGAATGCCGTCCACGGTTCAGAATGAAGGGTTTTTCATGGGTACCTTCATGGACAGAATTGTTCACTGCGAACTCAACCACATGTAACAAGTCATCCCAATCACCCTGAGTTGGGCCAATGAAAGAACGAAGCATCTGCTCAAGAGTATGATTCGTTCGCTCTGTCTGCTCATCCGTTTGGTGCCAACATCTTTAGCTTCGTTTCGAGTGTCCGCCAACATCTTTGTAAAGCACGGATCTCGATCGGACACCAGCACACGCGGTAACCCGTGTAAGTGGAAAACGTGTGCTACAAACAACTTGGTCGTATCTTCCGCAGATACGTCGGTTGTAGTAGCAACGAAGTGCACCGTTTTGTTCAATCGATCCACGAAGACCAGGATCGCAGTATGACCATCGCGTGTTTTGGGGAGGTCTGTGATGAAATCCAGTGAAACACTCTTCGAGGGTCCGTCTGGAATCTCCAGTGGTTGAAGCAAACCACTGAGTTTTTTCGTGTCAGACTTGTTGCGTGTGCATGCATCACAACACGACACGAATTGTTAAACCTCGGCCCCCAATTCAGGCCACCAGTATACATCACTTAAGGCCCTCCGGGTTTTCTTGATACTCGCCCGGATTCGGGACCCGCTTTCATGCAAACGGAGTGGAAAGTAATTATCTTCAGAGCTGCGTTGGAAGTAAGTATAGTTGCTGTATTGGAGACCAGGCAGCCACTTGCCCTGACAGGTGAACACTCCTCACTTCAGCAATGAAAACGATTGAGTATGTGAAATGAATCTTTTCGTGATTCGCGATGAATTTGGACATTGTGCTGCCTTCTGCTGCCTTGTGCTGCATTGTGCCACCTTGACCTGCTCATTTATCTGGTCATTCATTGACGCCCTTTCCTTGTATTTCACCCCTCCCACTTCATTCAGTTTCTTTTTCTGCTAACATCAGGTTTCACACAAGAAAAAAGATGGAGTCACTCCATCAACCTTTTCCAGGTGGAAAGGCTTCTCCTAGTGCTGCTGCTTCTCGTGTATCCTGTGCTCTTCGCTCCATTGCTGGTGGTGTTGCATTGCATCTGCTGCTACTCCTTACACTGCAGATCCCTTTTTATGTCTTTTTCTCTGCTTCCCCTTTTTTCGCTTGCAACCCACTTCGCTCCCTTCTTCCTCATTGTGCTCGTTGTCGCACCTTGCTGCTCACATTCCAGTTAGGGAAGGGATCTCATCAGCAGCACCCTCACCAGTTGCAGCGGCGGTGGCGGCAGCAGCAGCTACAGCAGCAACAGCAGCGGCCGCTGCAGCATGAGAGTCACCAACAGCAGCAGCAGCACTAGAAGCAGCAGCAACAGAATTACAGGCAGCAGCTGCAGCATTAGTTGCAGCAGTAGCCTCATACGACCTTGCTCTTTCTGCTGCCGCTGTGCTGGACATTGCTGGAGACCGGTTGTGGGCCAGAGCGTGTGGGGCAGCCATGTGCAGTTCGGTGTTGTGCTGGCTCGTTCGTAATAAGAGACATCCTGTACAGCTGGTGCTGATTTTCACTTCTATGTGAATTGCTGAGAATGAGAGTTGAATTACCTGGTACCATGCTGCGCTTTCCTTTTCACCCCGTTTTTTCCTGATGGAAGTGAGGCCCCTGAGCACTTTGTATGCCGGAACTTTCTGATGCTGCAGTTACCCTTTTAATCCTCCAATTCTGTTCAGTATACATATTGTTTCACGATTATGAAACCAAATTCTGATTTTACAGCTCGTATCAACTTGTGTGGTGGGGTGCATTTACATTATGCTTATAAGAGATGTGCACATCTTCCACAACCCTTGAGTAGAGAAATAGTGGGGTCTTTCTTTCCAGCTTCATCGGCCCCGACTTGTACCCCATATTGAGTTCCAGGCACAGCTCAACAACCAAGGAGCCGAGCTGCCTGCTCCAGCCAGCCACCAGTGTGCTCTGGTTGGCATATGCGGAAATTCGAGACCCAGTCGAACTTGCCGAATCTCGCCTCGCTGGCAAAGAAAACCAGCTACTTGTACGATGGTCCGACCGCAAGATGGTCCGTGATTTGTGGGATGGCCCCCTCTTTCCGGCTCCTGCTAGTTCCTTGCGGGTACTCTCAGAGTCCGCCGAGGTCATTCCTCCTGAATCATTCGCCAGGAGGAGCGGAGGGGTTTATTCTCCGTGCGAAGGCAATCTTTCTGGCTCCTGCTAGTTCCTTGTGGGTCACCCACCTGTTTTGTGACGGTACTTTGAGTCCGTCGAGGTCATTCCTCCTGAGTCCTTGGCCAGGAAGTGCGGATTTTTCACGCGCGTACATTATCGGCGTCAGAGGTCACCCTACTATTGACTAGGTGTAGAGCCTAGTGAGCTCACCCTAGTGACGTGTGGAGCATCCATGAGTGGAGCACCGCTCCCCCCCCTGGCCCGCTTTTTTGGAATCATGCAGCGCGGTCCGGCGGCAAGAATGGCCGTGATTTGTGGAATTTCCTCCTCTTTCTGGCTCGAGCTAGTTTCTTCCGGCGACTCACAGATACCGAGGTAGGTCCAACAGAGGTCGGTCCAACGGAGGTCGGTCCAACGAAGGTTGGTCCCACGGAGTCACGCATACTCCACTCTGCCTCGGCTTAGATACTATCGAGGGGAGAAGCCAACGATAGCATGCACCATAAAGCCGACGGCACAACTTTCGACGAGCGTGCGATACAAACAGCTTGCCTTCGAGAAAGAAGTTCTTTCCCACTGGGAATCTCCAAAGCCAGCTTGTCTTTCCTTGTCACTGATAGACTCTCTTTGCCTTCAAGGTTGGACCGCCTAGATCACGTCACGGTCTCGCAGCTCGGCTCCCTCGGACCGCCGATCGACAATGCTGATGCGTCCAGGCAAATCAAGTCGGCTCGGCGGTTTCGCATGGCTTCTGGCTGTCGCCGCGACGGCCGTGGTCGTTGCTCTCCTGGGACTCATGCCGCCCGTGCCGTGCTCTGCACTGCATCACGTGCAACCGGGTAGGTACTGCCAAGGCCGTTGCCTGGTCACTGATGCTCGTGCAATGTAGGCATTCTGACTCGTTTGTATCCCTCGTTCCGAGCCGTGCTCTGCGGTCCATCACGCGCAACTAGGTACTACCACCAGGGCCTTCGCCTGGTCACTCCTGCTCGTGCAACCAGGTACTACCAGGACCGTTGCCTGGTCACTGATGCTCGTGCAACCAGGTACTCCTACCAAGTATGACCAGGCGCTCCAACCAGGCCCATGCCCCTAGTGGTAGCGCTACAACCATGGCTGTAGCAAGGGCGTCGCCTGTAACAGGCACGGATGCTCGTGCAATGTTGGTGCTCCGACTCGAATCCGGTTATGCGCCACCGAACAACCTTCCCCTCAAACCTCGATCTCCTCTGTGTGTTCCCAACACTCCCCCTTCCCCATCCTCCCCCTCTTCTCTCCTCCCCTTCCTCCTCCCCTCTCCCTTTGCCCCTCGCCGTCAGTTCCTTCAGCGCTGTCATGCAGGGGGGGGGTGAACGGGCTCCCAGCCCTGAGCCGGGGTTGGTTGGAAGGTGCCTCAGTTGTCAACCACCCTATCCCCGTTCTCAGCCCCCCCCTTTCCAATCCACTGCCTGTTTTGACTCCCCCTTGGTCCCCTCAGCACGAAGGCCCAACACAAGGCAGCCCTTTGTGTGTTTGATTTGACATTCGTGCCGTCAGTGCTGTCGTTTCGGGGGGCGCCTCAAAAACAGGCTCAGGGTTGTGAGGCACCTCAATCCCCCCTCGCCTTTCCCTGCTCTCTTCCCCCTCCCCCACCCCCACCCACCCTAGCAGCAAGGCAGCACATCGTGCATTTGGCATCCGAGCCGTCAGTGCTGTCGCCCAGGGGGGAAGTCAACTTGCTGAGCGCCACTACTGTTCCCCTCCCCTCCTGTTCGTCCTCTCACCCTCCCCTCTCTACAGCAGCACGACGGCCCACCACAAGGCATTACATCGTGCATCTGGCATCCGTGCCGTCAGTGCTGTCATACCGGGGGAGTCAAAGGGCGGTTGGGGACTGTGAGGCGCCTCAGTCCCTGCTCCCCTCTCCTTGCTCTCAAACCCCTCCCTGTGTAGAAACCCCCTCCCTCCCCTCCCTCCATGCTCCCACCCCCCGCCCCCCCTCTCTCCCCCCCTACCCCACTCCCCCCAGCAGCGCGAAGGCCCAACACGAGGCAGTACGTCGTGCATTGGGGAGGAGTCAGTGACGGGCTGAGGGCCTCTAGCTCCCTTCTCCCCTTCCCTCCTGTTCCTTTCCCCTAGCAGCAGCGCGAAGGCCGAACACGAGGCAGTACGTCGTGCATCTGGCGTCCGTGCCGTCAGTGCTGTCGTACCGTGGGGGAGTCAACGGGCTGCAGGGCACAGCGACTGTAGACGATGGCGAGGACGAGTATGACGAGGATGACGGGGCGGATGATGGGGCGGATGATGGGGCCGATGCTGGTGGTGGTGGTGGGAGTGGTGGTGATGAGAGTGGTGGGAATGGTGGCAATGGCACTGCACCAGGATCAGCCGCAGCACTAGCACCAGCAGCACCAGGATCAGCACCAGCACCAGCAGCAGCAGGATCAGCACCAGCACCAGCAGCAGCAGGATCAGCACCAGCACCAGCAGCACCAGGATCAGCACCAGCACCAGCAGCACCAGGATCAGCACCAGCACCAGCAGCACCAGGATCAGCACCAGCACCAGCAGCACCAGGATCAGCACCAGCACCAGCAGCACCAGGATCAGCACCAGCACCAGCAGCAGCAGGACCAGAAGCAGCAGCAGCAGTGGCGGCAGCAGAAACAGAAACAAATCTGTTGTCGGGGTCAGGGCCAGAATCAGACGAGGATGCCTTCGATGCCGTTATTCAGTCCGCCGCTGAGGCTGCTGCAGAAGAAGCAATGCACATAGGAGGGATGGTTACAGGTGCAGGAGCAGCAGCAGGGGTGCAAGGAAGAGGACTGGGGGAAGGAGGAGTGAGGATGAGCGCACTGCCGTTTGGAAGAGGTGGGTTGGATGCGCTGGTGGGGAGGGTGAGGCGTCGCCTGGGCAAGCTCAGATCGAGCTCTGCTGGCGTGGGGCCGCGCCTGCTGGCCCGCGTTGCTGCTGCTGCAGTGGCTGCTGCAGCAGAGGAAGCAGCTGGAGCAGCTGCCGCTGGTGCTGCTGCTGATTTCCATACCTCTTCCTTCAATGCGTTGTACCCTTCTGCTACCTCCGCGGATTTCAGCGCCATTGGTAACATGACACGTGGCAGGAGAGCTGCAGGAGACAGGGAACCTCTGGCAGCAGGGGCCATGTCACCCGCGCTGACAGTGCAGCAGCTGAGTGCGCGAGCTGCTCGCATCATGCGCACCACGCCCTGGGGCCGACTCATGCGACCCGACGTGCGGTTACCACACGTGCAGGCCTTCACTCGCTTCCTGGAAGCTTCCCACCGCAGCCTGCTGCGGTCTCTAGGGATCCCAACCTCCGCCATCTTCCACAGGTGGGGCTGAGAGGAGGGAGGGGCTCAAAGGGGGAAGGGGGTATTTGGGTGTGCTCCCAACTTCAGCCATTTCCCACAGGTGGGGCTGAGAGCAACACATGGGGTTGCGAGTGGTGAGGGGTTATAAGGAGGAGTGCACTTTTCGTTCACCCCTTTCTCCTGCCTTCTGTCCGCCCCCTCCCCCCCCCTTTCACCCCATTCCCGTGCCACTTTTCTGCCCCCTCTCCCATTTCACCCCCTTCCCCTGCCTTCTGCCCGGCCCCTATCCCCCCGTCACCCCGCAGCTACACCTATCTGCTGAACAGCTTTGCAGCGCAGCTCACCCCTGCTGAGGCGAGGCGGCTGAAGTGGCACCCGGCAGTGGCGGACGTGGAGAGAGAGAGGACAGTGCGGGTGAACATGGTGCACTCGCCTGAATTTCTCAAGCTCGACTCGAGCCTGTGGCCTGCGAATGGCGGGCAGAGCAGCGCTGGGGAGGGGGTGATTATCGGGGTGATTGACTCGGGCATCTGGCCGGAACACCCCTCCTTCTCTGACCCTGTAAGCCCTTGACGGATGGGTGTTGGTGTAGTGACCAATGTAGGATCGTTGCACGGAGCAACGAGAGGAAGGGTGTGATTATTGGGGTGATTGACTTGGCATCTGGCCCGAACACCCCTCCTTCTCTGACCCTGTAAGCCCTTGACGGATGGGTGTTGGTGTAGTGACCAATGTAGGATCGTTGCACGGAGCAACGAGAGGAAGGTGGTGATTATTGGGGTGATTGACTTGGCATCTGGCCCGAACACCCCTCCCCTCTGACCCTGTAAGCCCTTGACGGATGGGTGTTGGTGTAGTGACCAATGTAGGATCGTTGCACGGAGCAACGAGAGGAAGGGTGTGATTATTGGGGCGATTGACTTGGCATCTGGCCCAAACACCCCTCCTCATGCCCTTTCATGCCCTCTCATGCCCTCTCATGCCCTCTCATGCCCTCAGGACCCAAGCGGAGCAGCTTATTCCGCTGTCCCTTCGCGCTGGAGGGGCGTGTGCACCAAGACAGCTGACTACAGCGCGTGCAACGACAAGGTGATCGGGACGAGGTACTTTGTGAAGGGCGCCGAGAAGGAGTTTGGCAAGCTGGATGAGACGGAAGACTACCGGTCGGCACGCGACAAACTGGAACACGGCACGTGGTGTGCGGGGTGAGTGCGATTGGTGAAGCAACGAGATGGTGATTGCTTTTGGGCAAACAACGAAATAGTGAGTGCGGTAGTCCCAGCAACGAGATGGTGATTGCAAGAGGTGCTTTGCGAAGGTGCCCCTCCCCTCCCCTCCCCTCCCTCCCTTAATCTCCGCCTGCCTCCCTCTTCCCGCCCATCCTCCAGAGCTGTTGCAGGTAGCACAAGGGTGGTCGTGACTGTGGGAGGCCGCACCTACGGCACAGCATCGGGCATGGCGCCACGAGCCAGGCTGGCAGTGTACAAGGGGCTGTGGAGGATGGGGGTGTATGAGGGCACAGGGAGGATACTACTGACTGTTCCCCGCTCCTTCTCCCTCCGTCTCCGTACTTCTCCCCTCCCCTCCCCTCCCCTCCCCTCCCACGTGGTGGTCTTTCTCCTCCCTTCCCGCACCCAGAGCCGCTGCGGGAACCTCAGGAGTCACGGTCGCCATGGGAGGCCACACCGATGGCACAGCGTCGGGCATGGGTGCCGCAAGCCATGGGAATGATCACATCTCCACCCCCCCACCCCGCCGCATCCCTGCCCCTCCCTCAGAGCCGCTGCGGGCAATTCTGGAGTCACTGTTACCATGGGAGGCCGGACCTATGGCACAGCATCGGGCATGGCGCCACGCGCCAGGCTGGCAGTGTACAAGGCGCTGTGGGTCATCGGGGGGAATGAGGGGGTGGGGGTGACTTCCGACCTGATAAAAGCTGCTGAAAAGGCGGTTGCTGATGGCGTGGACGTCATCTCGTGCTCGTGGGGGGGCCTCGCCTTGTACTTCCAAGATCTTCCGTACCTGCGAGGACTTAAGGTGGGAATCTAGGGTTGACTAGTTGGGGGACTCACGGTGCGTTTGAGAAAGGGTGTCTTCCAACCTCATGACCTCATAGCTGCGGCTGAAAAGGCGGTTACTCATGGTGTGGATGTGATCTCGTGCGCGTGGGGCGGCATTGCCATGTACTTCCAAGATCTGCCGTACTTGCGACGCTTGAAGGTGCATGCAGCGTGCCTTGCCTTACCTTGGCTTGAGGGTGGTACTCACCCTCGTGCCGTCTCGTGATCGTGGGGGGGGCTTGCCATGTACGTTCAGAATTTACCCTACTTCCAAGGCTTGAAGGTGTGTGTTGCCTTGTAGCAACACTCTGTCCTTCCTGTCGCCAAGGCCCCAGCATCGCCCCTCTGCTGCATCCCGAAACCCTGCAGGCTGGGATGGGTGACAGCCTTTGCAGCAGGCAACGAGGGAAAGCCTAAAGCTCAGCAGGCCTTTGCAACGCTCTGTCGTGTTGCATCACTCCAGCAGCACCCCTCTGTTGTCTCCCCCTACACTGCAGGCCGGAGTGGTGACAGCCTTTGCAGCAGGCAACGAGGGTCGGCCTGACCCCATGCGCATGTGGGGCACCCTTGCAAACGTCTCTCCCTTCTACCTCACCGTGGGAGCCAGGTATGGCTAGAGAGAGAGAGAGAGAGTGATTGTAGTGAGAGTAGGCTAGGGTCCCTTAGCATGCACGCACCTTGCCTCGTTGTCACCCTACATGCCTAGCCTGTACCCTAGCTTCCAGCAATAAACGGACCGCTTGAGAGTGATCCGAGTGAGTGACACTGTAGTGGTGGTCAGCCCACCCCATGAGCATGTGGGGCACCCTTGGAAACGTCTCTCCCTTTTACCTCACTGTGGGTGCCAGGTATGGCTAGAGCGTGATCATGGTGACAGAGCGATATCTATGAGTGAGAGAGACTATACTGGTCGAGGGTCGGTCCAACCCCTGCAGCACCATTGGGGGGGAGGGAGTACTAAGCAGCATGGACCTGGGGATGGTGCAACCACATTCACGAGTTGCATTCTGGGCATAGAGTGCAATCAACGCACTCCATTCGCACCCACTCTCCCATCTCCCTCCTCCCCCACCCCCCCCACCCCCACCCCTCCCTCCTCCCCATTGCAACACCATTGGGCGGGAATACAGGGCTGTACTCACCGTCACTCACATGTTCCCCCTCCCCTCCCCCCCACCCCACCCCAGCCCCTGTTCCTCATTGCAACACCGTGAGCCAGAAGGGAGATGGGAGAGTGGGGGCGATGTGAATATAGGGCTCTACTAACCCTCAGCAACCCAACCACCTTCACGAGTCAAAGTCTGGGCATAGAATGTAATCAGCACAGTCCTTCCGCCCCCACTCTCCTGTCTCCCTCTCCCCCCCACACCCCTCACTCCTCCCCATTGCAACACAATTGGGCGGGAATACAGTGCTGTGCTGTGCTGACCCTTGACAACGTAACCGCTTTTGGAGTTGACACAAACTCAGAACCCTCGACAACACAACCACCTTCACTGGCCGCAGTTTGAGCATGGAGTGTAACCAACACACTTCTCTCGCTGCCACTTTCCTGTCTCTCTCCCCGCCACCCCTCACTCCTCCATTGCAGCACCATTGGGCGGGAATACAGTGCTGTGCTAACCCTCGATAACACAACCACCTTCATAGGTGGCAATGAAGGCATAAAGTGCAATTTTTGAGGCGCCTCAAAAATAAAGTGCAATCAGCTCACTTCGTTCTCCCCGACTCTCCTGTCTCCCTCCTCCCCACCCCCCCCCCCCTCTTCCTCCTCCCATGGCAGCACCTTTGAGCCTCCCGCTCAATGCAAGGCTGTGCGCACTCTGGGCGACGCAACCGCCTTCACGAGTCGCAGTCCGAGCATGGAGTGTAATCAACACACTCCTCTCGCCCCCAGCCCCCACTCTCCCGTCTCCCTCCCCCCCCACTGCCCCCCATTCTCCCCACACCCTCGTCTCCTCATGGCAGCACCCTGGGGCGGGAATACAGAGCTGTGCTAACCCTGGGCGATGCATCCACCTTCACGGGTCGCAGTCTGGCCGAGAGCATCAATGCACTCCCCCCTCTCACCCCCGCCGCCTCCCCCTCCTCCCCGTGGCAGCACCATGGGGCGGGAATACAGGGCTGTACTAACCCTGGGCGACGGAACCACCTTCTCGGGTCGCAGTCTGGGCGGCAGCAGTGACACGGCGGCAGCTCTCCCCTTGGTGCTGGGTGAATCCGCTTTGCCTCCAAATGGGTTAGAAAGCGAGGTGAGGTCCAGGCGAAGTCCAGAGAAGCACAGGCCTGGTAGGGCATGCTCGAGGGAGGGTTACCCCCTTGCCTGGGCGGCAGCACTGGCACGGCGGCAGCTCTCCGCTGAATCCGCTGGCTGAATCCGCTATGTTTTCTGTTGGAGGCAAAGGACAGGTGAGCACTAAGGACAGGTGAGCGCGGAGGAGAGGGGCTAGCTCGTGGGAGGGTCACCCCTTTGTCTGGGCCGCGAGGGTGGCACAGCGTGAGCCCTCCCCTTGGTCCTGGCTGAATCCGCTGTGTCTTCAGACGGGGACATGGGCCAGGTGAGGTCAAAGGAGACATGGCCAAAGGTAGCTCTAGCCTCCAGGCCCCTGCTCCCCTGCCCTTCCCTTCTCCCCACGTGGCCAGACAGGGCTACGGTGGGCACATAGGCAACTCCAGTCACGGGCTCAAAGCACATCGGCAAGGGCAGGGTGGCAGCCGGCAGGTGTACCTCGCTCACACGCAGCTTTTCCCTCTCCTCCTGCTTTTCCGAGTGAACACCACTTGGGTGCCATAGGTCTTTACGTGGCAGCAACTTCGAAAACGCTTAAGTAAAACGAGCGGAGAGCTTGCTTAAAAATCTTTGTGAAGATTTTGATGGTAACCGGTTTCGGCTCGCGAGCCTTCTTCGCGATTCTTTGCGAGACATTCGTTTTGATGGTAACCGGTTTCGGCTTTTCCCTCTTCTCCTGCTTTTCCCTCTTCTCCTGCTTTTCCCTCTTCTCCTGCTTTTACCTGTCCGTCCCTTTCTGTGCAATTTGGGGCACATCAACAGGCCTCTAGTCTCAGGCACGTTCCTCAGTCACATCAACACTACATTGGTGTGCTCCATGTCTCTCGATGACTCTCAGACTCTCGCATACTGGTCTCCCTGCTTGAAGACGCACGCACTCATCCCTCCCCTCCCCCCCCCCTCTCCCCCTTCTCGTATCCCTTTCTCGTGTCTGAAGTCATGGACAAGACGCTCATGTCTGAAGTCATGGACAAGACGCTCGTGTCTGAAGTCATGGACAAGACTCTCGTGTCTGAAGTCATGGACAAGACTCTCGTGTCTGAAGTCATGGACAAGACTCTCATGTCTGAAGTCATGGACAAGACAAGACTCTCGTCGCGGCCAAGTTCCTCGTGTGCACCATCTCTAGGCGCCTGCTGGTCTTCCTGCTTGAATACACCGCCACTCACCCCTCCCCCTCTTTCGCATTCCTTTCTCCACGCCTAGGAATGCTGTTCTCAAGTCATGGACGAGACTCCCATTACGGCCCACTTCCTCGTGTGCACCATCTCTAAGCATCCGTTGGTCTCCCTGCTTGAATACACCGACACTCACCCCCCCCCCTCCCCCGCCCCTCTCCCCCGTCCTTCCTGTCCCTTTCTCCACGCCAAGGAATGCCATTCTGAAGACATAGACCCGACCCTAGTCGCGGCCAAGTTCCTCATCTGCACCACCTTAAAGCGCCCTTCCGCCTCCCTGCTGTCCTTCCTTTTCTTTAGGCCAAGGAATGCAATCCGATTGGCGTTGACCCGGCCCTAGTGGCGGGCAAGTTCCTTGTGTGCACCGTCTTGGAGCTCCCCCTTGACCTCCTGCTGGAAGAAACGGGCACTCACTCACCACTCTTTCCTTCCCCCCACTCTTCCCCCCTTCCCCCTTCCCGCCTGTCCTTCCCGTTCTTCAGGGCAAGGAATGCCAACCGTTTGCCATCGACCCGGCCCTAGTGGCGGGCAAGTTCCTGGTGTGCACCGTCTTGGAGCTCCCCCTCGACCTCCTGCAGGAGGACGCGGACAAGCATGGGGCGGCTGCTATACTCGTTATAAGCGGGAGCCCTAGTACTGACATGCAGCATATCATACCCTTCACCAAGACCCCCAGCATCTTCATCAAATACGCGCCTGGGAGGGCCATCAGGAGCTACATCACCGCTCAAAGCAGGTGAACCTCTCCTTCTCCCCACCAGCAGGTGAACCTCTCTTTCTCCCCACCAGTAGGTGAAACTCACTTGCTCCCCACTAGACATGATCAAAACGCGATTGCGATTTAAATCGCATCGCATGCAGGTGCGATGTTTAAAAAAGCGATGCGATTTAAAATCGCATCGCACGATTTATTTTTCAAAAAAAAAATCGCAAATCGCATTTTACCCGCGATGTATAAAAAAACCGCATGCAATATTTAATTAAATCGCGCAATGCGATTTTAAATCGCATCGCGTTTTAAAACAGAATTAAAAAACACCCCCAAAAAACAGAAAAAAAAAATGGCTGCGGGGAAATTGACTCACGGGCAGTCGTAAGCTAGAGTGCAAATAACCAGTGTGGTTTCGTAGTGGGTTTCAGAGTGGGTTTCAGTGCAATATCGCGCGCGATTTTTAAAAATCGCATATCGCATTTAAATCGCTTTTTTTTAGCGCGATTAAAATGTGGTTTAAATTAAATCGCGCGATATGAATTCATCGCATCGCGCGATGATTAAAGAAAAAAAAAAACATGGCCATCGCAAAAACGAGATTAAATGCGATGGGATGCGATTTTTTTTGCCCATGTCTACTCCCCACCAGTAGCTGAGGCTCTCTTTGTCCGTCCTCTGCCGCAGTTTCTTTGTTTTCTGCTTCACACAACGGTCGGTTTCAACGCCATCTTGCAATCACTGAACCCACTCCAACAAAGTCCCCCAGATCGCCTTAAAGCCCCCCTCTCATATTTCCAAAGGTATTACCTTTGGCCAGACAGGCGCGGCGGGGATTGGGTAGCGAGGTACGAAATTCAGAGTCGCGAGAGCTGGGGTTTGACGAACACAACAGAGAACCAGGCCCGAAACCCAACCAAACTTGCAGGCCGGGGGAACCTCCGTACCAACCCCTCAAACCGAAAATACGTCGCCAGCCGACTTGGCACGTGCACGGCGACACACCCAAAACACGGAAATCCAAAACAGAACGTGTCGAAACCCAGCACGGTAGGTTTGCGATCACCATGGTGTGGCTTGGTTGTCGCGTGGGGTTTTTCCCGTCTTTTTGCTTTGTGACCAATCAGGGGCACGTCCACACCAACCAACCAAACTTGCGATACCCACCCTTGTTACCCTATTACGCAAGAGTATTACCTTTGCTCAACCCTGGAAATATGAGAGGGGGGCTTTAATATCCTCCCATCCCCACTCTTACCCTCTTCCCCACCCCTCCTCCCTTCCCACCCACAACCCAGCACCACGCTATCCCCCTTCACCGCATCCTACTCTGCCAGCGACCCCCAGGTCACCTACTCTTTGTGTTCCCTGCTCGCTCCCATTCTTTCCCTCCCTAAACCTTACACCCCATTCTTACCCCCTTCCTCCCACTCCGCCCTCCCCCCCGCCCCCCTTCCCTCCCCCCCGCAGCCCCTCCGCCACCCTATCCCCCTTCACCGCGTCCTACTCCACCAATGCGCCCCAGGTGGCCTACTTCTCATCCGCCGGCCCCCCCCGCAGCCCCTTCTACTGGCCCCCGCTCCTGATCCGCGACTTCCCCACCAATGACATCCTGAAACCCGACGTCATGGGCCCGGGGTTCCAACTATGGGCCGCGGCTCCGGGTAAATCGGTCGATACTGCTAAGACTGACGATCCTAATTTCAACTACTGGTCCGGGACGTCCATGGCGACGCCGCATTTGGCGGGGATCATGGCGCTGATCGTGCAGAAGAAGCCGAGCTGGTCGCCCGCGCAGGTGATATCCGCCATCACCACAACGGCTTATACGAAAAATCAAAACGGGCAGCCGATTCAGCGGGCAGATGAAACAAACGCGAGCGCGTGGGACTACGGAGGCGGGCACGTGGATCCCACGCGCGTGTTGGACCCCGGGCTCACGTTTCACGCTGCACATCGAGATTATGTAAATTTTCTTATGGGGAGGGATCCGCTAAGAGCGACGAAGCGGTTTTGGCGAAAGGTGAAACACCCAGTTTTTCCATGGAACCTGAATCGTGCGTCCATAGCGGTGACCCGGTTACGCGGCGTTGCGGTAGTGCACAGACGCGTTAAGAACGTCTACCATAAGAAGTCTACATATAAAGCGAAAGTGGAGACTCCACAGGGATTTGTGGTGAAAGTTTCGCCTAAGAAGTTCACTATTCTGCCTGGAAAATCCAAGGTGTTTAGGGTGACCATTATGGGCTTTCCTAGTTTTCTTTTCTTCGAGAAAGTTCAGGTTTGGTACAATCTTATGGAGAGACCAATATGGACACTCTATTCCGGTGCGCTTGGTGTCAGGTCTTGCTTTATTTTATGTACAGTGTCATGAATTTCTGTTTTGTTCTATATGATCTTATCAAGTACTGGTGTGGTGTAGTGTCTATTGTTAAATTATACATTTGAGATATATATTACAGGGTCTCAGATATCAGAGGAAATCCGTCTGATGGTCTGAAAATCAGACCTGCTTTTTTGCTTTCATCTGATTTTTTGACAGGGTGAATTATTTCGTCTGATTGTCCATCTCAGTCATAAGATTTCGTCTGAAAGTTCAGACTTGGTGTATTTTTTCGTCTGAAATGTCAGATTGCGCGTACAATTTCGTCTGACAGCAATCGCCCATTATCCCACTGCGCCAATGGGTTACCTGCCCACTGGCCCACACTCTGCCATCCTGGTCGTGGTCGGTGGGCAGGTGCATTTATTTCCACGCGCACCGCGACGGCCAGCGCATAGTCACGAAATGAAATCGGCAACAACCTGACTCAGGTTGCCGCCAAGCGCTCGTCCGATAGTGCGTCACTTGCACGGCTGCCAGCTTCCTTGCACCTTGAAGCTGGCAGCAATGTGCCAGCGCACAGTGGTGCGGCCAGGAAAGCCACCCACCGCGAACCAGCAATGCAGAGCTATTTCGTAACCATGCAGCAACCTCGCTCGCCATGCTGCAGCTCAGCGAGGCGCCTGAAGGTAAAGGCACCGAGGGAAAAGCCTCATAGCCACTTGTCCTGCTCCACCTCGTTCTTCCAGCCCCCTCAGCATGGCTCCAATCTTGCTCGGCTCACACCCTGCCTGGACGCCCTCTAGCTCTGTGGCTAGGCAGCGATGGCATCAATGAGAGCGCAGTCGAGCCCCTCCCCAGTTAGGCAGTCAGTTGTAGGCTTGGAGCCCCCTGGCTCAACCCCTCCGATTGTTAGTGGTCTAGATCTCCTCACTGACGCGCTGAACCGAGCCATCGTCGGCAATGCTCCGATTGCAGCCGTGGGTGAGGCACCTCCGTCGCCTCTCCCACCGTTAGACGACGAGCCGTGGGTTTTCTTTGACAAAGAAAACTCTACATGTGATGCTCCAACGTCACCTAACCCGTCGTCAACACCTGGCTGCTCAACCGTGCGAGCCGTCTCCCCTTCACGCGTGACGCGCGATCCTCGTCCTACCAGTCCGCGCTCCTGGCAAGAAGCATCGACAGCGCAAGCTTACATTTGGCCGACCAGCAGTGGCTCAGTCTACACCCTCTGTCCATGTGCGATCCTGGTCTGCCGGAGCATCTCCTGCCGGCTCCGACGACGACGATGGTCCCTTTCCCCTCACAGTCGCCGAGCTGCAGTTGAAAGCTGAGGAGCAGTGGCAGCGGTACTTCCCATGGCTTGCTGATTTCCGAGACCTCTGAGGGGGCGTCCATGCATGAAGTGTAGCATCTGTATGGGGTACAACAACGACCCCAACTACCAGTATGGGCACAACGGCGAAGGCGGCATCGACATACAGAAGCAGACGATGCGCAAGCCCCACCACAGTCAAAAGCACGAGGCAGCGATAGCGCGGAAGGAGCAGAAGGACGGCAAGAACGCGAAGCAGAATTCCATCGTCGACTTCGAGAACGGGGACGATGAGGCAAAGCGAGTGAAGCGACTCATGGCGATTGTGATGTTCCTTTGCAAATCTGACGCCCCCGTTGTGTTGTTTGTGTCACTTGTCCAGTTCATGGCAGAGCAGGGAACACCAGACCTGCGTGTGAAGGACAACGGTACCTACCAGAGCGAGTAAGTGTTTTACGTGATTTTTTAACATGCTTTCCAGAGAACTGACCCATTTAACATACTAATATGCATGCGCATGTACGGTTTCAATCAGGTGATCGAGAACATCGTCACTTACCTGCGCGACAAGCAAATGAGCCACATCAGGGCTTCACCATTCTTGGGCATCCAACTCGACGAGTCAACCGACCGTCGGCGGGGTAAACATATGATTGTTTACCTCACCTTCTTACGCGACACGACGGTGGTGATAGAGTTCTTCGGGCATCTCACCGTCGAGAAGTGCGACGCCGCATCTCTGCAAGCCGTTCTACTTACCCACATCGAGTCTCAGGGCGTCGACCTCAACAAGATTTGCGGCAACAGCACTAATGGAGCCAGTATGATGACGGGTGCGCAAGCAGGCCTCGTGGCAAGGTTGCGCACCCGTATTCCACACCTGGTTTCCTGCCACTGCATCGCGCATATGTGAGTCTGAAATTCCAGAAAATTGCATATTTAATAGTTTATTCCGAGACTAATAAAGTATTTCTGTTAATATGCAGGGAGGCTCTTGCTGCCAAGGACACTGCAGATGATTTCCCGGACTTAGGCATCGTCGACAAGGTCGTGCGGCCACTGGCCGAGGTGCTCGGCCGGTCCATCGTCGTCCACAACCGTTTCAAGGAGCTGCAAGAAGTCGTCACTGAAACTAACCTCGAAATGCAAGGCATCCACCAGATTTGTTGGCTTAGTCGCGGTGAGGCTATCCAGCGGCTTGTTGATGTGTTCCCCGCCGCCATTCTCCTGTTGTACGAGTATGATAGGAAGATGTATGACGTAGTTATCTCGTTGAAGTTTCATTTTTTGCTGTACTTTCTGGCGGATGTGCTGCGGGAAGCTCAACACGCTCAACCTCAAGTTCCAGCGTCGCCAGGTAAGCCAGTTGGTGTCATGTCGTCAGTTTTAGGGGAGTGTGATGATTAACGAGCAAAAACACCTCCTCTTTCTGTCAGTGTATGGCAGGTCGACGTCAACTAGGTTCTTCGGATGGTCGACAACACCGTCGTGACACTGCGCGCACGCTACGTCAACTACAGCACACAGTTCGGCCCACCTGAGGGGGACTTCGCCGACTTTCTGCATCTGTACGCGGGGGGCGAGGACGTGACGATCGAAGGATTGACGCACACGGGGCCGCCGACTGTGCACACGTACACTCTACACACAAAAGCCGCTGGATGGGCAGCGGAGCAAGGGGGATCTAAAGTCACTACAGCAGCTCGCCACGGACGTCGTCAATGGTGTCATCAACCACCTGAATGGACGCCTTAAAAATCTATCGAAGCTCTATGGCACAAGACTCTTCAAGCAGATGATGTACCCGAAGTTCACTGCGAGGCGCCAGCGAAGTTTCTCGAATGGCTCCAGTCTCTGCGCGGCCTCTACAAGGCGTGATGCGTCAGCGCCCGACACTCTGCCGGATGAGTTCCAGGGGGTTAGTGGTCGCCGTGGCTCGGGCGTTTTCTGGTTGTGGAGATCATTGACGAAGGCTTCTGTGCCTCTGTTTCAACCCCCCTTCAGATGTCAACTGGGGCAAGGCAAAGGCCGAGCTCGTCAGCTCACCACCATTATGGTCGACACACAACGATGAGCTGGGCTTCCATGACGCGCTGAAGAACGTGCTCTCCACGTCAAACTGGATGACTGCCTACCCAATTTGGTTCTCATCTGGATTGCCTGGGCCGTGCTGCCGCTCAGCACCAGTGGAGAGCGAGCGCGGGTTCAGCCGCCAGAACGTCATCAAAAGCTGGCAGCGCGGCAATCTCAGTGATACGAAGCTAGGCCACTTGATGACGGTGTCGCTGCTCGACTACCCGATGGACTGTGGGAGTATGGTGGCTAGCTGGCGTGGAACGAAGAAGCGGTGGCCCGCCAAGGAAGTTGTCATGGATCAGACCGCACGGCAGGTGAAGCGGCCCAAGGCGTCGGTGGCATTGAAGGCGGCAAAGGCAGCAGCAAAAGCAGCAGCAAAGGCAGCAGTAGAAGTAGCCAGGCAGGCAGAAGCGCTAGCAGCAGAAGAAGCAGCCAGAGTGTTTGAAGAGGATGGTGTGGCTGGCCCAATCTGGAGGAGGAAAGGCAAGGGCAAGAAGGTCCAAGTTCAAGAGACCGATAGTGATAAAGACATCAAAGAGGTTGGAAGTGATAGTTCGGACTCCGAGTAGGCAGGTGGCGGCATGGCATAGCATGGTCTAGTATAAGGCTAATTCCTAATGTAGGTTGTAGTGTAGGTACTGGAGCATCAGTAGTTGCAGTTACAATGATGCTAACGATGTTTATCAAGTGTTACATTCGTTTGTGTAGTAGTGTAATGTAGTGCATTCGGCATTGGGGTATAGTGCCAACGTTTCGTCTGAACTGTCAGATCGTGCCAATTTTTTCATATGAAATGCCAGATCGGCAAAAAAAAATCGTATGATGGTCAGACGAAAGTTTGAAACTCCGTCTGAACGTCAGACGGCCTAAAATCCTAGCTGAAACCTTGATATATTATTATAGGCTTGCAGGCAGGGCCTATCTTTGGTTTTTCACCACTCTGATTTTCACAAGGGACTCCTGGCCTAACTCTGATTTTCATAGTGCCTTGGAGGTTGAACTATGATTTGTCAGGGTTTTTTCACACTTTCACATAAATACTCTTATTTCCAGGATTTACGCCCCCAGTTTATTTCGCACCATTCTGCCTATCTCGGAAGGGGTCCACAATAGCATTAGGGCACGTTTCTGGCCGCTGTCAAGCTTCTATTACAGTCCAAATTCCAGAGCGTTTGAGAGCTTTACGCGCCTTTAGAGTGGTTCAGTGCCCAGTGCGCTCCACTTGACTGGTATAGAACCTCGAACAGCGGCCAGAAACGCTCACCTTTTTTCTAGGTGTGTTCCCTATACGCAATCCCTACAATTCCCGTGTGCAAAACCTGTGCTGCTAAATGCTGAAATGTGCAACTGAATACAGATTTACGACCGAAATCTGCCCAGTACTGTCGAAAATCGTGCTGAGAACGAGGTGGAAGTACCACATCTCGGGTTCGCCGGCAATTTTTGGTCTGGAACCGTCGAATCGGGCTCTCCCAAAAAATCATTGCAGGCTCTGCTTTGCTCCGAAGTACAGAAATAGAAACCGAAACTGCCAAACCTGGCTGAGCTGTAAGGATTGGCTGATGTCGCTGGGATTCGTGTGGGAGCAATGTTTGCAGGAATACAGTAAACATGCCAGTGATTGGCTGGCGAATGTGCTATACCAATCACCTTCGCTGTGGTGGCAACAGCTACGGTGTTTACAAATCAGCACAGCAACAAGTTACACACATGAAAACTACCATGACT